CCTTCTCTGAACTCTGCTGTGTTACAGAATTCGGTGAGGGCTGAACAGACATCCAGACGGTGGCGGGGGCAGGGAGCAGGCTGCTGCCGTAGCCTTGACTGTCCTCCCTGTGCTGCTCCCAGGTACGGAAGCCGAGGATGTGCTCGGGGAGCTGGAATACGAGAAGGTGCCATACTCCTCACTGCGGCGCACCCTGGACCAGCGCCGGGCCCTGGTCATGCAGCTCTTCCAGGACCATGGCTTCTTCCCATCGGGTGAGTGTATCTTGGAGTCTTGGGGGGGCCCCTAAAGAGGACCTGCCTGCTCATCTCACCCTGCCCTCCCCGCCCCCCATCGTCCTTCTGTCCCCAGCCCAGGCCACGGCAGCCTTCCAGGCACGCTACGCAGACATCTTCCCCTCCAAGGTCTGTCTGCAGTTGAAGATCCGAGAGGTGCGCCAGAAGATCATGCAGGCGGCCACTCCCACGGAGCAGCCCCCTGGAGCTGAGGCCCCCCTCCCCGGACCACCCCCCACTGGCACTGCTGCTGCCCCTGTCCCCACTCCCAGCCCCGCTGGGGGCCCCGACCCCACCTCACCTGGCTCGGACTCTGGCACAGCTTCGGCTGCCCCGCCACTGCCTCCACCCCCAGAGCCAGGTCCTGGACAGCCTGGCTGGGAGGGGCCCCCCCCCAGCCCTCCCCCCCACCCCCTGGCCCCTCCACAGCTGCCACAGGCAGGTGAGGGGCCCAAGAAGATCCCAGGACCCACCGTACCCCCCTCAGGACATGGACAGTACGTAGGTGGCAGGAATGGGGGGGCAGGATGGTTACCTCCTCCCCAATAAAGCCATTTCGTCCTTTCTAGTTTGGGGCGGAATGAGGCCTGCTCCTCTTGTCTATCCCCCGTCCCCCCACAGCTTTCTCCCTGTGACGGGGGGCAGCTGAGGGGAAGCAGGGGCACAGTCTGCCTCCACGGAGCCCCTGTATATAACCTGGAGTGTGTTACCTTCAGACCTTTTCACTTGTACTTTATGCAAAATGGCTCATGTGAGGGCTACAAGCTGGAGGGTAGCACGGGCCTTGGGCCACAGGGAGAGGTGCCTGTGGAGTAGGGGGAGTTCATGCACCCCTTTTTTCCCCAGAGGGGCTGGACTCAGGTTAGTTTGGGGTGGGGGCTCCTGCACTTTGCCACAGGCATGGGGAGGGTTCTCTCCCCACCCCCTCTGCCCTCCCAACTTGGGTTGTACTTTCTAAGAAGGTGATTCCCCCTACCCTTGTCCCTATCCCCAGAACAAAACATGTTGATCATGTGCAATATTTCTTACTGTGCCGAGAAGCCGAAATTAAAGCTGTTTAACACACTTGTGTGGCTGCCCACTCTAAAGGGAGAAGGGGTGGGTGGGGTGGGTTGTACTATCCCCAAACGGTCAAGGAGCTTATACACTTCCTCCCAATGCAGTCCCTCCCCACATCAGAGGGACCCTGTGGGCCGAGAACCCTGACTCACTGTGGACTGAACAGCCTGTCTTCAGCCCTGGCACTTGGAAGTCCCTGTCCCTACTATGCCTCTCACAGTCGTCCCAACATCTGGGGGCTCAGGAAGGCCTGAGAGGTCTGAGCCTAGGTGGTACTGGGCTGGGTTTGCCCAGTAACCCAGATACAGTGCTGTTCTCGGTGACCCCTGCTGCCCCCACATGGCCTGAGCCAGCACTGCACCCAGGCCAAAAGGAGCCTCCTGGGTTACATCCCTCAGTGTGTGGACAGTGCTCCTCTGGGGAGACAGATAGATTCCCTGTGGAGGCACGACTGCTTGTGATGGGGAGGGTCAGGAAGCTTCCGTAGGAAATGGCATCTAAGGTACAACCAGAGCACCAGAAGCTCCAGCCAGGGGAAAATCTTCGGCAAAACGGGGAAGGCAGCTTTGGAAGGGCTTTGGCTGCTAGGTCAGTATGTTCCCAGAATTCTTATTTGACTTTGATCTTGCAGGGTAGTGTGTGCAAACTGGTTTCACCTAGTGTGTTACTGACTGATGGTGCCTGCCTGGGGTGTTACTGAGAGTAAAAATCTGCTAGACCCTGCAAGAACCTGAGTACCTTGATGGACTGGTGATGCCTGCTTCAGGCAGAAACAGAGCATCCTCCGGAGCTGCAGGGTCGCAGAGATCATAGTTAAGGTTGAGATACCCAGAAGGGCTTGGCCATAAAGCAAGAAACGGGAGACTAAGGAATGAGAATTTAATGGGGAAGAAGGATGCTTAGGGTGTAGCCTCTGGCCGGGGGACACCCTGGCCCTGGTCTTGGGCCAGCAGACGCAGAAGCAGGGAGTGCAGGGCCCGACAGACAGGTGTGTAGCCCAGGCGGCTCAGATGCAGGTAATCGTACATGTCATGGTGACTTATGGTACCGTCTGAGTGCACAAAGCCAGGGTCGGCATCCAGGAAGTGGGCCCGTGGGTGGCCAGCCAGTGCTGCCCGGACCAGCTCGTTCACTCGCCGGTTTTTCTCACGAAGTGGGTTAGGGTGCTGGCCCCTCGGAAGCAGGCCCTGAGAAAGGCCACCAAGAGTTGTGAGGAGACATCCTACCAACATCTGGGTATCCTGTTCTCTGGGACAAACTGTTCACCCTCACCAGGAAGTTGCCAGGTGTAGAATATACCAGGGATGGAGTAGTGGGGGATCAGAAGGGTAATTCCTGATACCATGTCCGAGACTCCCTTCAGCAAGTACCTTCTGGGTGCCAGCCCCTTTCCAAGTATCCATCACAAAAATGACACCATGGCAAAGGGTCAACCCCTCTTTCAGAGGAGGAAATATTCCAGCTGGAAGTGATGGAGCCTGGATTCACCCCAGGAACGCCTATTTTTGGCTAGTTGTTTTGAGTTTTGCAACACCCCCCAGAATCTTCAGCAATTTCTTGGGCAACAGCAGCTACCTGGTCCCTGAACACCTTAACAACAGCTGCTGGGTATGTAGCAAGCTTCAACTGGAGATTATGCCCGAAAACCACTGCTTTGTGCCATGCTGCCCAGAACTGTGCCGGCTGCAGCTACACTTGCCATTCTTTCTTCCCTGCCCTCCCACCCTCTCACCAGCACCACGACCCGGGCCTGGGGCTGCCGTTGGTTCACCAGTTGCACAATGGCCTTGATGCCACCAGTCACTTGCTCTGCTGTGTGCCCGTGGTTGTTGGTACCCACCCAGACCACCACAATCTGTGGAAAGAAAGGCATGAAGCAGCGGTCAGGAGGGAGGCTTGGGGCGCGTTAGCTGCCCACCGAAGCTCTGCTCACCTTGGGCCGGATGTGTTCCAGCTCCCCATTCTCCAGTCGCCAAAGCACATGTTGCGTGCTGTCACTGCCAATGCCAAAGTTAAGTGCGTGCAGAGGAGAAAAGAGCTCCCGCCAGATCTGCAGACAAGAAGTGGTGTGGGTACATTGGCAACAAGGGCATTGGCAACAAGGACCACCACCCTCTGTCCAAGCCACATATAATGGAAGAGCCCTGCCTTATGGAGGCAGTCTGGTCGAATCTCGCTTTATGCAAACCTATTACAGTCTCACTTTCATGGAGATCCACAGAAGCGAGACTCACTTTATGGAAACCTATTCTGCTTGAGTCATGCATGCATTGAACCAACAGCAGTGACAGTTGATGAAAGCCATCATGGTTTGACCTCACTTAGTGGAAACGTAACATAATTGAGTCCCCTTTGTGGAGAGCTATTACAGTTGACTTTCACTTGGTGGAAAGACTACAGCTTTGTGGACATCCATTAGGGCTGTGCACTACCTTAAGCAAACAATAGAATCTCACTTCAGGCAATCTTCTTGCAAGAAAGCCTCATTTTAAGATTTCAAGTCTCACTACACAAAAACCCATGTGACAAAGACTGGTCACACAGTTCCTTCTCAGTAGAATGTTGCATCTTACACGGAGGTTTGGGTGTGGGTGCTGCCTGAGGCTATTTCGGGTACCTCATCCCTGTCTGGCTTGGGCTCTGATCCAGATGTGTCAGCGAGGGCACAGGCCTGGGTGGGGCAAGGGGATGGGGGACGGGCCTCACCTCGCACTGGTGCATTAGCTGGACCAAGGAGTCCCCGATGAAGACGACTTCGGGTTCCTTATCTTTGCTGTCGGCCACGAACCGATGGTGCTTCGGGGACGTACAAGGGGAGTCAAAGGCACGCGCGCTGCTTGGCCCGCCCCACTCTGCTTCCCCGCTTCGTTTCCACCACCCCAACTGCTCTCAGTTTCCTAATCCCACAGAGAGAGTGGCGCCAACCAACTGCTCTCCTGAGGCCCCTCCCGGACTCCTGAGTATCGCGGGCCGGGTCGCTCACCAGGGACATCCAGCGTCCGTCACCCTGCACGTCCTGCACCGGCGTGGGCTTGCTGGCTGGGTTCTCCTCTCCGCTCATCTTGGCGCCGCAGCTCCTTCCTGCAGGACTGGCGAGCGAGGTCGACCCGGGAGAGTCGGCCGAGGAGGTGGCTCCGCCACGCCCACCCCTCCCTTCCAGGCAACAATGGACGGTCCCGACGCCCGCACTCTAGCGAGGACTACTGCCGATCCCGGGCACCGCCTCCTCTGCAGGAGCGGAAACCTTCACTTAAAAGGGGTGGTGGAATTGGGAACCCATGCTTCCCCCGCGGCGGACGCGCAGTGGGCTCGTCCGGTGCTTCCCGCCCGGGCCGCTCAAGCTCGGGCGGCGGCGGCCAGCGCACCCGGGCACCTGGGAACGGGGAGGCGAGATCATCCAGCACCCATAGGGGAGGGAGGAACCCCACACGCCACACCGGCGTCAGGGGGAGGGGCGAACTACCTGAAAGGCCGAGAGTGGGCGGGGGAAATCTAGAGTTTTTCCTTGGGGGAAGAATCCGTTTGCTGTAGAGCGAGAAATGTGCGGAAGGGATCGCCAGCTCTGTGTGTGTGTGTGTGTGTGTGTGTGTGTGTGTGTGTGTGTGCGCGCGCGCGCGCGCGTGTCATTCACGTGGTGGTGGGGGAGGGAAATGAGTGGACGAGTCCATTCCTGGATCCCTTGAGGGGGTGGCTCGTACGCACCTGGCTAGGTGGGGACGCTCCCATTTTCTATTGATGTGGGTAGAAAAAAAGATAGCAAAATGTGAAAAATAGAGCCTCCGTTGTAAGGAGACATCCTAAGAGAGAGCCAGGACTTAAGTGATCCTATCTGCTCGCAGGCCTCCCCTGCTCAAAAATACCAGTTTTTGTGGCATAAAATCTAAACTACACATCTTTGCATTATAAACATCACAGGCCCTGCAAAGAGGGCAGAAGAAGGTACAGAAAGAAAAAGGAAATTAGAGATGCTGCAAGGCCCAGGTCCAGCCTGGCACCCCTCCCACCCAGCTCATCTTGCAGATCTGTGGCCTCTGTTCCTCTCTCTAAACCCACAGGTGTGTCTAAGCTCTGAAGCCTACATCCATAGCCAAGGCCACCTAAGGTCGGCCCCTCCCGGCCCATATTAATCTCAAATGTCAACTCTTCCCAACTCTTCCTCTTCTCAGGGACCAGGTGGGGGTCCCACATTCCCCTAAACTTCCTGGTTATATTCCCGTAGCTCCACTTCCAAATGGGACCTTCCCATCTATCCATTCTTTCTAGGTAGGTTGATACTGAAATATGGTCTTATTTATCATGTTTTGCTTCAGTCCACTTGCCTGGAACAGGGCCTGACTCATAGTACCAAGTACTATGGCTGTTCACAGGAACTTAAATGATTATTAAACGAATGGGTCAAATCCTGGCCTTGTCCCAGTGTGTTGGGGAAGACAGATCCAGACACAGAGATGAGGAAAGGATCAAGGTTGTGATTAAGAGAGGTGGAGAAGGGGAAGGAGAAAGAGAAGGACTCAGAGTAGGGGGTTCCTAGGAGTAGTATTTGAGTTTGGCTTTGAAAACTCAGGAAGTCTGGGTAAGCTGTATTACACAGGTAATATAGCTGATTAGGGCGTGGGGAAACTCTGGCCATAGCTTTATTTTATTTTTTAAATGTGTATTTTTGAGTGAGAGAGAGCAGGCAAGGAAGGCGCTGAGAGAGAAGGAGACAAAGGATCTGAAGCTGGCTTGTGTGTGGGCTTGAACTCACCAACCGTGAGATCGTGACCTGAATGGAAGACAGAGGCTTAACCGACTGAGCCACGCAGGTGCCCCTATAGCTTGATTTTAAAGTCTGAGGGGACTAGTGTCGGTAGATAAGTTGAAAAGGTAGAGAAGCCGTTGCTGAAGCAAAGCTTAGTGAGAAACAGCTTCGAGGCATTCATTCCATTCAAACCAAGTGCTGTTTCAAGTTAGATGTATTGGCTCATTTTATACTTACAGCAACCACACGAAGGAGGCACTATCAGCTCCATTTTACAAATTAGGAAATCGAGGGTCTGAGCAGTTACACACTTTTCAAGGTCATACACCTCAAACGTGCCAGTTTGGGTTGTTTAAACCTAGGTAGCCTAACTCCAGATCCTAGCTCTGAATGACGACTCTATACTGATTCTCTAGGGATGAATTCTGTGACTGTCTGGGGACCCGCTGCAAGTGGAGACTGCCATGGCCCTTTTTTCCCCTTGTGCCTCGCCTCACGGCTTTCCGCGAGAGACAGTCTAAGCCAATCAGCATTCATGAAGGGGGCGGGCCCAGCGAGTCTCACAGCAGATTGGTGTATGGGAGATGCCTAAGGACAAATGAGAGAGATTTCTGGAAGTAAGGCTGGAAAGGGTGGGACCATAACCGGCACTCTGTTCCTCGTGCCTCACGAGAGCAGGAAGTCAAAGGGCGTGGGCGGTGCACGCGCATGCGTGTAGTGTGCGTGAGGCCCCGAGGAGTCCACAGGGCGTCATGAACTAAGGTTACCGTGGAAAAGAAGCCATTGCACCCCACAGCCACGTGGGGTGGGTGGGGGACGGGCTTCATTGGGCCAGGAGGTGAGGTACTCCACCCTTACCTAGCCCCCACCAACCGTACCCCCCTTTCCTAACCTCAACTGCCCGCCTTTGCCTCATCTACCCTAGTCCACCGCATTCCCATGACTAGGCCCAGTTCCTGGTAGCTCCTCCGTTGCCTTTTCTGTTTTCCCGAGGTCTTCTCTGTCTCTCCTACTTCTTTGTTGCTGTCTCTTCTGCCTTTCTCTCTCTACCATCTCACTCCACTTTCTGCATTCTCCAGTACCTTCTCTACTTCTGGATTTCTCCTCTGTCCATAATTCCTTCTAGTTCACCAGACCCTGTGGTCTCATGATCCCGTCCACATCCCCCATCTTCTAGCTACTTTCTCATGTCCCAGTACCCTGTAACCCCTTGTCTATTCTCTATTCTGACACACCTCCCCATTCACCGTGACTCCCTTGACCCCATCCAACCCCCACGACTCCTTCCTTGACCAAGTCTTTGCCGATCACTCCCTACCCACCCACTATCTTATTCTCATCTTGTCTCTGTAAATAGGCCTTCCACCTCACCCCAAACTATCTTCTCTTCTCACTATTCACTTTTAGGTCCCTGATTTATCGGCATGATGATGACTGTCCTATCTTTTTCTTCCAGAACATTATGGACCCCCGGGGGCCAGGCCCCCAGCCTTTCCAGCGGCCTGAGAAATCTGGTCGTGTCCGTCGTCGGAAGACAAGGCGGGAGCGTAACGAGGCCCTGATGGGCAGCCGCCGGCCATTGACCCATCAGGATCCTCCTGTGACCAGTCAGGATCCACCTGTGGCCCCTACTGTTCCCAAGGTCGTGGTCATAACGCAGGGCCGGCTGAGCCGGGAGCACCGGGGTCTCTTTAATCATGAGGTGAAATCTCTGGATGTGGCACGGCTGCTTAGCAGTGGGTCCCTGGAGCCCGGCACCCCTTCACTCCCCATCAAACGCTTCTCAAGCCCAAGCTGGGCCCAAGAACCAGCTCCCCAGTCAAGGGGCAAGGAGAACCAGGTGCCTAGAGGCTCAGGCCCAGGCCCACCCAGTCCCCCAGAGCTCCCTGGCTTGGGGCAGCTGCTGGAGGAGCTGCAGTGCCAGTTGATTCTGCCACAGGCCTTCCCCAGGAGGAACCTAGTGCAGGAGGCCAGGGATGCCATCGTGGGCACTTTACAGGCCTGCCATGGCTGCGTGCCTGACCTTACCCTGGTGCTCCGTGACTGCCAGCCACCCTTACCAGGTGAGTCCACTTCGTACATCCTGTGATCCCTTCCTCCTTGTCTGCTGTAGCTCAGCTGTCTCCCATGCTTTTTTCCTTTGTGCCAGGGACCAAGCCTGGGGGCCCTGAAAGACGAAGGATGACACCCTCCTGGATCAACAGCCCAGAGCAGGCCCCAGGGGAGAGGAGGCAGAGGAGGCAACAGAGGACAAAGGAGCTCACTTTCTCCATGCCTCACACCTCCAGCACTCCCCTGGTGCACAGGGTGAGCCTGGTGCCACCAAAAGGTCCCTGGCCACCGCCTTTGCCCTTGTTGCCTTCGCCATCTGGGGCAGCCTGGGGCCCCCCAACAGCCTTTGACCTACTGAAAAGCATCTGGCTGGTTGCCACACCTCCCCCTCCCCGGCCCTGGGGGGTCGGCCCACAGCAACCCCTGCCTCAGCCACCATCACCCTTGTTGCCCCGAATCTCTGCCCTGGATTGGAGCCCCAGCCCTCCTGCCCCACTGCCCAGTCTCTCCTGGGTGGTGGCCCAGAGCAGCCCAGAGGCCTGGTCCTTTCCACCTATGAGACTGTACTGAGGGGACTGAGGCTGGGCTAGGGGCAGGAAACCCGCACTCCTGATCACTTCAATAAAGTACCTTCTTCATGGTCCCCTTGATTTTCAGTGAGTGGCCGACCCAAGCAAGCAGCTTTGCTTTGCTCTGAGTTCTGGGTCCAAGATGGAGGGGGAAGATACCATCACTTGTCACCTCCTTGGGATTTGAGGGCCAGCAGGCTGGGGAAACCTGGGGTTCAGTCAGTCCAATGCATCTACCCACTGAAGCCAACTATGTGCCAGGCTCAGCTCTGGTGATGCTGGGGCCCCAGAGGGAGTGCTACTGTGGCTGTGTCCCCAGAAGATTCCCAGTCCAGTGGTGGGCACAGACAGTTCCAGCCCCAATGGTTGCGTCTTGGGGACAGAGAGGTGCAGGGGCTGAGGGAGTCCAAGGGGGGAGTGATGATTCGTCCCTGGGGATGAGGGAGTTCCTCAGAAAGGAGCAGATGTAGACCTTTACACATTTTAAGATTGGTAAGAACTTACTAGTAGAGGAAGAAAAGAACATTTCAGGGAATTCTAGAAACGCTGCTTTATGGGACAGTATGTGCAAGGCCTGGAGCAGGGCAAATAGGGGATGTGGAACCATTTTCATTCAGTCCATATTCCTAGGATATCCTGGGACTTAGAGTGAGTCATGTCCAGGTCCAGCCCTCGATGGGCTCCTGGTCCAGTGGACATAGGAACCGTGTGTGCAAGATCACGACCGGAATGGGAGACGAGGCCTGAATCTACCCCACAGACTTTTTAACTTTGGCCCAACATACATTTAAAATTTTTGAATTAATTGCCTACTGTCACAAATCAGTTTGCTTTAAAACAAAAGCAAAACAGGGGCGCCTGGGTGGCGCAGTCGGTTAAGCGTCCGACTTCAGCCAGGTCACGATCTCGCGGTCCGTGAGTTCGAGCCCCGCGTCGGGCTCTGGGCTGATGGCTCGGAGCCTGGAGCCTGTTTCCGATTCTGTGTCTCCCTCTCTCTCTGCCCCTCCCCCGTTCATGCTGTCTCTCTCTGTCCCAAAAATAAAATAAAAAACGTTGAAAAAAAAATTAAAAAAAAAAAAAAAAAAACAAAAGCAAAACAAAAAAAGCCTAACATTTCTGGCTTCTCTAAAACAAAAAAACAAGAGAGAGAGAGAGAGAAAGAAGGAAAAGAATCTGGCAGCGGACCTACTATCCCTTCCGGCAACAACTGGCTCAAGCCAAGTAGCAGAGGCTGCCTTTTCATGGGTCCCACACTCTCCACTGAAAGTGTTCTGTGCACTTATGTTTTCTGCTTGGCCCCTTGGCTTAGAAAGTTTTTTCAAATGATATTTTGAGGAGCAGCACTTTTTTATTTTTTTTTTTTTTCCCCAGTGGAGGGGGAGGAATGAAGCTAGAAATGTTTGTTGGAATCTGATCAGGGGAAATGAAGCTGAGGGACTTGGACGCTGCTCTGTAAAGCCTTCCAGGGATCCTCACTGCCCACTGGGAAACCATAAGGTTGGTACCAGCCGGTAGGGGACTGAACTGGGAGATCACACGACTTGGCTGAAGTCTAATGAGAAAGTGGCAGTGCTGGGTTTTGAACCCAGAGGGTTGATTTGGGTCTGCTCTGGGCTTCTCACAACACCACCTCTTCTGGCAGCAACCCGGTTTCACACCCCGGTGAGCAGTGACTGGACAGGGTCAGGCAATGGAATGTAGTGACTGTGGCCCAGCGTTCTGCCATCTCCGTGTTTTGTGACCCAGAACAAATGGTTCACCCTCTCCAGCCTCCGTGTCTCTGTGGGCACTTCACAGAGCCCATGGGATCTCGGGTGGACACTGCTGGGGATGGCTGTCATGAGGGCAGGAATGAGCCATCAAAGAGCAGTTTGGGGTCTAAGCTGGCGGGGAGGTCAGGGCAGAGCTGGGGTCTGTACGTTGGGGGTCATCCCGAGATGGCTGTCTGGAGGAGGAGGCACGGCTCGGGGGAATGTGAGTTCAGGGGAGGACAAGGGGAGCAAGAGGTATCAGGGAGAGTCCCAGAAGGGAGAACTGAGGCTGGGGCGGAGTAGAGAGCATGGGGAGGGGTCGTCCTCTCCCATGCCGATGGAGAAGGCGCCAGGCTGGGCCATCCCGGAGGAGGGGGCGGGGAGAGCGGCGCCCAGCGGCCCCTTTAATCGGGGGCGCGCGCTGGCCGGCCCGCGCGCTCTCGCCGCCGTCGCCGGGCCGGAGCGGGAGCCGGAGCGGAGCTGGGGCCGGGGCCGGGGCCCGGAGCGGGCGGAATGGAGCCCCCGCGCGCGCCCGCTCTGTGCCGCCTGCTGCCGCCGCTGTTGCTCCTGCTGCTGCCACTGCCCCCCCGCGCCCGGGCCAAGTACGTGCGGGGCAACCTCAGCTCCAAGGAGGTGAGCGCGCTGGGCCCTCCCCTGCCACTCGCCGGGCCCCTGGGGACCGGAGGGAAGGGAAGGAGAAGGGTGCCGCCCCGCCCCCTGCCGCCCTTCCCAGGCCGTCCCTGAGAGCCGCGGTGGGATTGGGGCTGGGGATAATAGGGAGGACTGGGTCAGGGTTGGGGCTGAGAGGCGCCGTGGGGTCGAGAAGAGACTTGAGGGTTGTAGGAGGGACATTGAGGTCAGAGCTGGGCGGGGAGGAGGGACGGGTTGGGAGAGTGAGAGTTTGGGGTGGGGGTTGGGAGAACGCCAAGGTGGTGCTGAAGGGACAGCACTTTTCACTCCGTAGAGAGCCTGGAGTTCACACTGCTGCTCAGGGCCAGGAGAGGGCCGTTTGGAATATTACCCAGTAGGAGGTGGTCTCTGGGACCACCGTGGGGCATTCGTGTGGATAACCGGGGGATGCCAGTCAGATGGTGTCTGGGACTGAAGGTGGCCGGGATGGGCACCTGGCCCTCCACGTCCTTTCTCAGTGCACTTGGAAAATGGGAAAAGTGTTTGAGGGGAGGAGAAGAAACTTGTGTGGGGGGCATTTGAGACAAGAATCCTGGACCCAAGGTAAAGGGATCACAAGAATTTTGGAGGTAACTTGGTCCCCTTAAGCTTCTCTGGAAATCAGGTACCCAAGAGTAGGGAAGGAAAGTTGGGGGGGGGGTCTATGGAGTTGGGGAGTTCTCAAGGATTCAGGAGGACTGGGCCTCTTTTCCAGGATTGGGTGTTCCTGACAAGATTTTGCTTTCTTTCGGATTACGGCCGACTGGACTTCCGTTTCCGATACCCTGAGGTGAGCCTTCCCCCACCACTCTCCATGCTGAGGCTAGATATTCCCTTGGCCTCCCAAGGCAAGGGCTACCCCAGTTCCCTGTACACCCTCAAACTTCAAAATCTCTGGGTCTGCAGGCCAAGTGCTGTCAGAACATCCTCCTCTATTTCGACGACCCATCCCAGTGGCCGGCTGTGTACAAGGCAGGGGACAAGGTGAAGGCTGTGAGGAGGGTGCATGGGAGAGGGAAGAAGGCCGAGGCTGGCCAGGGAGTGACCATGTCCCTGCCTTCCCCAGGACTGCCTGGCCAAGGAGTCAGTGATCAGGCCTGAGAACAACCAGGTCATCAACCTCACCACCCAGTATGCCTGGTCAGGCTGTCAGGTATGGGGGAATGGGCAGATGCTGAAGGCCAAGGGCCCGAGGGCTGTGCAGACAGGCTTCAACCTACTTCTTGCTCCTTCCCAGGTAGTGTCAGAGGACGGAACCCGCTACCTGAGCTGCTCCAGTGGCCGAAGCTTCCGCTCGGTTCGTGAAAGGTGGTGGTACATCGCACTCAGCAAGTGTGGGGTAAGAGGCTGGGCCGGCCACCTGGGCCTTCTCCTCCTTGCCTTCCTGGTGACCCTCTACCTGCCCAGGCCCCCCCCCCCCCTTAGGCCTCCCCACTTCCCACAGGGAGATGGGCTGCAGTTGGAGTATGAGATGGTCCTCACCAATGGCAAGTCCTTCTGGACACGGCATTTCTCGGCTGATGAGTTTGGTGAGCATTGCGGACCCAGAAACCAGAATCTTTGTGGAGGTCTAGAGTTGGGTGCTCACTGCCGAGGGACACCCAGCTTTGACTGAATCATTTCCTCCTTCTACAAAATTGGCAGGGATCCTGGAGACAGATGTGACTTTCCTCCTCATCTTCCTCCTCATCTTCTTCCTCTCCTGTTACTTTGGATGTAAGTCCAGTACGTGGTGGTGGGGTTAGGAGTTATGGGGGGCAGGGTTGGGGGAATGAGCTAGTCTCCCTTCCTGTCTGTGAACCACCTTCCCCTACTTTTCTTTTAGATTTACTGAAAGGTCGTCAGTTGCTCCACACAACTTACAAAATGTTCATGGCTGCAGCAGGAGTGGAGGGTGAGTTTCAGAGTATCCCAGCTTTTGAGTTCTGTCAGAGGAGGGACATAGGGTCCAGATACCTGGGTCTGAGGAAAAGAAGAGGGGCTGGGGGCCTGGATCCTGGGTCTGAGGGAGGAGGGGCTGGGGGCCAGGACCCCTGGGTCTGAGGGAGGAGGGGCTGGGGGCCTGGACATCTGGATCCTGAAGAAGAGGGGCTGGGGCCTGGGCTCCAGTCTCCTAGGACGTCAGTGGGCGTAAATGGTCTAGAATCCTGATGGGGATGAAGGAGGGGTTCTGGCCATCTGGATCATAATGCTAGGGAACAGTGATGCCCCAAAGCTGGTTTCTGTCCTTTCCTCCCTCTGCCCGTTCTCCCCTCAGTCCTGAGCCTCCTGTTTTTCTGCATCTACTGGGGCCAGTATGCCACTGATGGCATTGGCAACGAGAGTCTGAAGATCTTGGGTGAGAATGGAGTGGGCCAGGGGAGGGTGCCTGGGCTCTCTCTGAGCCCTATGTCTGAGACGCCCTCTCCTCCCTTCTCCCAGCCAAGTTGCTCTTCTCCTCCAGCTTCCTCATCTTCCTGCTGATGCTCATCCTTCTGGGGAAGGGATTCACAGTGACACGGTGCCCAGGCTGGGGCGGGAGGGAGTGCTGGGGGGAGGTGTGGCTGGGCTAGGGAACAGGACACTGGGGTGGATCTGGGGGGGATGGCTTCCCGCTTCTCCCTGACAGCCCCCACCCCTGCTGTCTCCCTTCATGGCCTGCTGCCAGGGGCCGA